CCATGGATAAATGAAGAGGAGGGAGGAGGTAGAGAGGAAGGGACAGGGGCCTCTGGAGTACAGGAAGCACAAGGCGCCAGAGACTCTGCTTGGCAGGAACAGAGTTGGGCTGTGGCGGCCCTGGACTGCTGAAACTCGTTGCAAGTGACGCAAGTCTCTATTAACACTTTCAAGGACAAAAGAAAGTGGTTTTAGATCTGTTCATTCCAAGTGTCTCCATGCTCCTGAGAGTCCAGCAGGCCACATTCTGGAGGAGGGAAAGGCAGGGTAGGACTGTGTCCTAGAAGGCTTGCTGAGGGGGAATTGCTCAGTCTTCCCAGCTTGAGGTGCCCACAGCAGAGTCCGGAGGCCTTCAGAGCTTCGTGAATGAGATTGCTGCAAAGCCACAGTGCTGAGAGTTGAGAAGATTCGAACTTGATGATTAAAATCCATGGGAACAGAAGGCCACACAAGAATTTTGTTGATAGGCAGAAAGTGACTAGCTCTCTTGATTTTGCTGTGGAGGTTTCATTGTTGTTTAGCATGGAAAAGACTAGCAGTAAGTGTAAAACCAAAGATAATAAACTGCAGCCAAAACGCAGACATCCAGGAAGGGTTGAATGTGCCAGAGGATCAAGGCCTGCCCCTTCCCTTCTTGGGAACTTGTTCCACAGTTTCACATCACAACTGGTACTGAGCCTCTGATGGGGTCACCCCAGTCCTCCTGTTTATTTGAGACTTGTACAATGGGAGTAAATTCTGCTGGCCCCTATTTTTCAGGAATTATTTTCAACAATTCTCACACCTGGAGGGATATCCGCCGGTTTTCCCTGAGCATCCTCCGAGACCATGGGATGGGGAAACAGGGCAATGAGGAGCGCATCCAGAGGGAGGCTCGCTTCCTGGTGGAGGAGCTCAGGAAGACCCAGGGTGAGTCTTCCCAGGCAGACCGAGGGAGGAGGGTCCTGGACAGGCCCCGAGAAGGCTCTGAACAACCTGGAAGTGGTAGGCAGCTACTCTCCTCCAGGAGAGAGTGACGATGCTTCTCAGGCACTGCTCTCTTGATTCATTTCCAGTTCTACTCTGTAACTTGGTGTGCAAGATGCACAGCAAGTGTGACTGCTGCGCTCTAGAGAGCACTGAAACGTGAAGACAGTTGAGAAGGCCCTGTTCTCACAGGGACTGGTGCGGACTCAGTGGAGTCTGAGGGGATGGCTAGCCAGCCATGGCTAGTGTCCTTTCCCAACATGGGCTCTAACATCTCACCTGTTTTCCAGGCCAGCCCTTTGACCCTACTTTTCTCATTGGTTGTGCACCCTGCAATGTCATCGCCGACATCCTCTTCAACAGGCGCTTCGATTATAATGACAGGACGGTTCATAGGCTCATGCGTTTGTTCAATGAGGACTTCTACTTGCTTAGCACTCCTTGGCTCCAGGTAGTTATTTGGTTCCTTTTCATTAATCTTTGGTTGTACAGTTACCATAGAAATAGAGGGTCAATTTAGGTCATATGGGATAGAAAGGTTTAGAAAAGCCCTAGAACAGGAGCAGGTCACAAAGTATTTGACTAGATAGTTCCAGGAGCCCTTTAAGAGATGTCTATGCGTCCATGAGTATCTTTGTCCTAACCCAACCATGCTTTTCATCCACAAGTCAGCACATTTTCATCACAGAGATATAATGCCTGGGAGAATAATTACTCTCACCACAAAGACATTGTTGCACAAAATATCCTAAATTGTATGGTTATCTCAGGCATGAATGTTTGGGGTTTATGATCCCAGCACATAAAATGATGTGGCATCCAGAAAAATAATACAGTAACATATTCTTCCTTTTAGCTTTATAACATTTCATCAGGCTACCTACGCTTCCTGCCTGGAAGCCACAGAAAACTGCTTAAAAATGTGTCTGAAATAAAACAGTACACACTTGAAAAAGCCAAGGAACATCTCCAGTCTTTGGATCTCAACTGTCCCCGTGATGTGACTGACTGCCTGCTGGTGGAAATGGAGAAGGTATCTGGCATAGAATAGAAGGAGGATGTGGTATACTTTTCAGACTGAGGCCATATCCCACTTGCTGGCATCTAGAGTGTTCACCCTGGTTGCTCTTGATGCTCTTTTATTGTTTAAGACACATTGGGCTCAGCATGACCACTGAGCTCTTCTTTCCACTCTTGGGAGGATTGGAGAAGGGTGGATGGGC